ATAAAAACTTAGGCAACGCTAATTTTTGCTTACTCAGAGTGCTTGCCTGCGTTACTCTAAGACTTCATTAGGTGCTTTCGTAGACCGCGTTTCCCCTTTCGCTAAGCCTAGAGCCACTATATGAGCTGCGCTTAGAGTATCAGCACTCCGTTCCCCGACATTGTTGTGGGCGCCGCCATATTGGGGCTTGTGCAGAGCAGACGCAACTGGAGATCGTCATGATTCAAAAGCGTGACTTCCTGAGCATTCGATTCGATGTAAGGAAGCTCATGTAATATTGCTTTTCTCTGTCGCGGTCTGTTTAAACATTTTTGGAGGACGGAAAAGCATTTCCTGTGATTTCAGATAAAGCTTCAGATAACTGGCGACCATGATTTTAAGCCACAATATGGCCAAGTGTCGTTACTCTGAAGCGTAGCTTATTTAGTGGCACTAGCTAAGCCCTCCGCAACGAAGAAGCCGCTACTGCACCTGCGCGCCTTGGCTGTACAGTTCTGGGTATCGTAGCGGGTTGCGAAGGAGCGTCGCGTGACTTCGAAAACGGTCTACGAAAGCTCTCTGTTATTGTACAGAGCGCGAAACCGTTAGCGCGAACAAGTGATTGTTGGTTTTAGCTGTTTGTCTACAAAAAAATCAGAAGACTGCCATCAAGAATACTAGTCTGTTTGAAAGTGCTCATCTGGGCCACTAACCTAAGCGTTAAAATGTGATACCTTCTAATACCATTTTGAAGTAAAATTCGAAAAATCGCCAAGATCGTATTCGTGGTAACGTTGTCGCGCAGTGTACATAGTCCATTTCGTAATTACACATTTTGGGGACCATCTTGAAAGAAATATTTTAAGTGGTTCAAGTAGAAATATATTTCCTTGAAGCTTGTCTGAAAGTATTGCATATTTTAATATTACGTTTACAAGCAAAAATATTTCTCCACATAACTGAATTGCTCGCCTGCACCTTTGTATTAAGTGCAATAACATGATTTCGGGACATATTCTTAAGCAGAAAAACTGCGCAAACCAGGATTAGAAGGATGGGTTTTTTTGCGAAGAGGTTGAGATGCGTGGGGTTTTATACCAATCAACGGGTTCAAACGGGACAAGTTCAAACGTAAATTATGTCTTGGCTACGGGGGGTTCAAATATGAAGGGCGTTTCGGGAACGGGTTGAAACGGGACAGGTTCAAACGGGAAGGTTGTTTCGGGAATGGGTCGAAACGGGACGGGTTCAAACGGGAAGGTCGTTTCGGGAATTGGTCAAAGCGGGACGGGTTCAAACGGGAATGGGTTGTTTCAGGCTACACCCGTCCTCACCTGAAGAGTGTTATCTTACACCGTGGGCGAGGCTGACTGCGGCTCGCCACGCGAAGCCCCTTATATACACGCGTTGGCTGCTGGGACATTCAGCGTAGAAAGTTCGGCGCGTAGAACATTCGGGCCAGAATGTTCGGAACACGCCCAACAGGGTTCTCGAATTTACCAGAACGTTACACTGAAGCAATAAATAAAAGACGGGTAACTCTCAGGAATCGAACCCTGGGCCTCGCGCGGATGTCAAGCGCGGTAACCACTCCGCCAAGCACGTGCTCGCTCGCCGACGCACGTGGCAATATTTAGAACACGTTTTGACTCTTTTGTGGAGGGGTGTTTTAGCCTACCTTGCGTCCAGTAGACACGTTGCTCTGGGGCAGGGGGCGCGAGCTCGTTCGCAAGACGCGACCATGTTATGATGGCTGCACCGTCCAGGTGGACCTGTAACGTTCGATTGTGCACGTGCCACTTTCGAATAGAAGCATCTGTAAATGCGCAATAACAAAACTTATAAAAAGTGTGGCTCGCCGCCGCAGCGTTCCATTAAACATTCCTTTCACCTTTGCATTCTTTCATAGCTTCCGCGAGCATGAATGTTTCACTTTACATGATAGTGAAGCCGAAGCTAGTCGCAAGAGCACGTCCTCCTGAATGATGCTCGCACTCCACGAGCGCGCGTGCTTGGCGGGGACGCTGAAAGGTCGCAGCTCGCTCTTGTAGCCTCTGCTGCGCTGGCACTTAGAATAGGATGGACTAGGATGGACTATAAAAATTGTAGTGCGGAATTCTATTTTTCTCACCTGGAGCGCTGCTCAAAACTTGAGAGTACGGGTCTGTTGTGAATAAGTGCCTGCTAATTATTTTCAGAATCGGTAAAGTTTCTCCCAGGTTCAATGTTGCGATAGTCTCTTTCGCGCATTCAAAAATATGTTCTTGTGCTCCTCAAATTAAGACGCAGGACGAAACCGATTTTAGGCGAGGTAACACATAGTTGCAAATATGCTGCATGCGCAGTTGTTCGTTTACAAAATCCCTCTTCCCTGTGGCGAAATTTGGGAAAGCCAGGCCCGCAGGTCTCTTGAGCACTTGGTCTCTATGGAAAGCTCTACCGAAAAACTATGCTAGGCACTGCAGAAAAATTAACCGCTTTCCCTCACTTGAATAATATTCAAATATTGGTGAACCAGATAAATATGAGGGCTAGACGAATTCATGGCGCGCTTTTCTTTCTTGACTACTGACCTTGTGTTTATGTTAGTGTGAATTCAGCTATTATTTCTGGTGTTGGTTCCCCTATCACCCTATCAACCAGCCTGAAAGATTTCTTTGGCGGTGTTGTAAGGAGTGTTTTGAGGGAGTGATGTCCTGTCCGGTTTCATGTAGCTTAATTTATTCATAAAGTTAAAGTTTGTTGTAAAAAAGCCGGTCAATTGAACTTTGAACTTCATACTTTATAAAAACGAATTTCCGACAAGGACTCCGAACAAAAAGCTTCGAATAGGTAGCTAGAGGTTCCGGGTGCCTCCCCATAAAAACGCAATACAATATTAAATAAATCAAGAATATAATAACCGGAACGAAATAGGTGTACACAGTCTTAGTTAAAAAAAAAAAAGAAACATTAATGTGGTCGAAGAAGACGTTGTTAAGCAATGTCGGCAAGTTATAAAGTAGAGATTGACGTGCATCATCACAACATAGATGGGAAAAGATCAAGAGTTTGTTCGTTGGATAGTGATTATTGATCCATGTTGAGTCAAATTCGAAAGATCCCGATTGATCCCGAAAGCATACAAGCATATCGTAGCATATCGTATGATGGAACAAGTCATAGCGGGTAGTATGACGTAAGCATGGTGGATCCGGATTCACCAAGATTAAGTCATCTCATCCATCTTGATCCATCATGGATCCAATATGCTTTACGTCGCCCTACCCGTCATCAGTTGTCCCATAATACGAGACGTTACAATATACGTGCATGCCACTTTCGCTAACATAATTACGTTATCACAATTTTTAATAGAAATGAGACAACAACCAACACACTCTACACTGAAGAATTAAAAAAACAAACATAATATACTGTATTCATAGTTTCATATTATTGCCACGCCCTCAGCTGGCTAAGTAGGCAGCGCGGCCGTGGCCTCACGTTTGGCATGCTTGCTACCCACGCGAAAAGCCAGGGTTCGATTCCTGGGAGCGAATCGTCTTTTCTTTATTCTTGCAATTTATTGTTCTGGTACATTCGAGAACTTTGTTGCTTGTCCGAGGTACGAATGTTCTAGTCGCCGAACCTTCTTGGTTGATTGTTCCAGAAGCCAGCGCGTGTACATAAGGGGCTCCGCGTGGCAATCCGCAGTCAGCCTCGCCCCAGGGTTTGACTCTGTTATTACGCCGACATCGACGCCCGGGACGCTAGCCTTTCTCTATTTCTGTTTTGGGCAGAAGTTCGCCCCATTAAACGTTTAGTTTCTTCATTTATTCGACGCTTCATCATTTCTCATTCGTGACATTATTATTAAAAAAAGAATGGTTTGGTATGAGTGTCAGCGCTGTGCGTGCGCGTGCTTTCTACTTGTGCTTTTGCCTCTTTTTTGCTGTTTTATTTCTTCTGATCATTGCTTCTGATCATTCTGGCCTAACTAAGCCTTGATCTGCAGTTAAAATTGTAACCGCATACATTCTGTAGAGCATTGGAGAATTTATTTTTAATTGTGCCTTTTGGTGCTCGTCTTCAATTTATTCCCTGCACAATACGTGCCTAGTAATTTTCTTTGTGAACATAAAAATATGTATAATAATGTGTTGTTATTTTGTGCCGATTTTCTTTTGTTTTGTTGCTCTTTAACAGTTGTATTTTATTGCTTGTTAAAGCAGTGTCCTACTGTGGCTGGGCCTCGTCAAAGTGTACTTGCTTTTGCCATGTATCTCAAAACGTTTGCATTCGAACTAAAGACACAAGTAAACAAACCGGTCATTACCTACGCTGCCCCATCTACCACCTGCAATAATAACACAGACTGTACTCCATCAACCAATTTTCTTCGAGATCTCTTACTTCTGCTAAACGGCCGGTTGTAAAAGCCGGTTGTAATAGTCGGATGTAATGAAAAACCGACACCGAAAAGCGTTTACGTTTACAGGAAACCATATAAAAAGACTTCACTCTCCGCATGTTTTGAACTCACACCACTGAGATTGTGAGCCAAGTGCTTTACCGACTGAGCTATCCTTGTTTTTATATTTTTTGTTTTCTTAATCGTCGAGCTGCCGAGAATTGGTGGTAGCTAACTCGCTAAAGCGAACGCATTGGCGCGGCACGCGAAGGCGCCGTCGCGCGCTTCGCGGACTTTCCGATTATGCTGGGCATCTCACTTTGCGTTTCAAATTGGGGAGTGAATCTTAGGTACGCGGTTCTGTTCACACGCCCCTCTCTTTTTCCACCGTGGCCACGGCTTCTACAAAGCCACGAACGCCCATAAGTGGAAGGCGAATCACACATTTCGTGCTTACCAATGTTTGTAACAGTGATCAAGCTTGTATTCTTTAGAGGAAGCTTTACATTTTTCTTAATAAACAATGCGTCTTTTGGAGGTCCAGATCTTGCTTCAAACGAAGCAAGTTATAATATTGCTTTGAATTTAGAAAGGGCTTTATTAAATGATCGAATTTATTGCTCTACAGATTCCGAAACATGACGAGAATTGTGAATTCTTGTGTGCATGGAAAATTAACAATTCCATGCATGCCTTCATTCAACGCCATGTAGATGGAATGCCCTGTGGCAAGGGCAGGGTAAGTGAAGTGAGCTTTTTATGTCGTTGACAATCAGTAATTTTGAAGAGTTATAACTTATAATAATTGAAGACAGCTCACCTCATTATGAGCTAACATTTTCTTTTCCGCATGATTCTAAAGATTATCTTATGACTACTCTTTTAACCCGTAGTCGGCTTGTTCGTGACGGTCAAGCAGCCTAGTCACAAAGTGCATGCTCCAAAAAATGACGATTTGCGGACAAAAGCATTGGTTTTACTCGAACTTTGGTAGGCCCCCAGAATCTCGCCCTCTACTCACGAATAGAATTGTATATCATTAATTTCTTAAGTCAATATGCATGTGTTACTGGCCACGTTTTTGTAGTCCAAGTGTGGTTCTACTGAACGGAGAGGAATAGGACATACACAGAAGGAGCGAGCAAGATATTTTCTCCAACTTAAAGATGTAGACCAACTTTGTTTTTGTTAAGTATCAAATGGTCATTTCGGAAAACAAAATGAACTATCCTTAAATCACAAGTCCAAGATTTAGTTCAGGGATACAATCGTTGCTAGCGAAGGCGAAACTGTTTTTTTTAAATTAAAGAAATGTGAGAGCGTAGTATGAAACACATAAATATATATAAGAACAACATCTTGCTTCGTTACGCAATTATGGTGAACAAGATAACACTCAGTTGCGATATTTGAAATTCTTTAAAATGCTCACCGATACTCCCTAAAAATATCGTAGACATTGAACTGTTGATGATGATCATGAATAAAATAGCGCGAAGCAACAAGGAAGGAAGGACGAGGTAGGCACAAAGCAAAGAAAATTGTTGTGTGTATGTTTATACAGCCAGAAGTTAGTCTGCCTCAGTGAGCGTCTGGTGTCTCAGCTGTAGATGAGCAATTTAGCCACTGCGGTACTGCCGATAACCTTGGGCCTTTAACCTGCACCACGCGGTAGTGATACATGACCGCACGCTGGTACGATGCTCATCCAGATCGAAATGGGCAGGGGCGGGGATTGAACCCAGGATCGTGGGTTCTGCAGCGCGCTAGTGTGCGCTAAACCACTCGGCCACCGATCCTTTTTTTTTTTTTTTTTTGAAACAGCCAGTTTATTGAGCGTTTGGAAGCTGATTTCGAACAAAAGCAGACAGGCGACACGCCGGCTGTTTTTCCGTTAGACTATGAGCACCTTGAACGTTATATACGCTAACACTTCACATACACCATTTCTGGAGTCGTCTTTCGATTACGTCCCACTGCTCCTGGTATTCTGGAAATCTTTTTGCCACTACACTGAGAGCCCACTTCAACTTGGCCGCAAAATACGACCATGTTCTTCGACGAGGTAGACAGCAAGGGCGCTAACTTACAACTGTCATTTAATGCAGTCTATAAAGAAGGAGAAAGAAGTTACTGATGTTATCGCTTAAAAGAAAGAAAAGCACACCCTCAAAGTTGTTATACGTAAAAAGAATAAAATAAAATAGGCAAACTCTATTGAACGTCAGTTGTCAGTTAGAGCCCTTCCTGTCCACCTCGTCCTTCGTTTCTTGTTGTTCTGCGGGATTTTATTCATGTCAACCAACTAGCCCTCCAGCTCATCTTATTGAAATCTTGGCTGTGTGTTTTTGAGCGTGCACTAAATCGGTGGAGGTCATTGCATTCTGCAAGCGGAAGGCGTCTGTTCCTCACTCCATTTTTCCTCTGGGTTTATCGTTCTGTGGTTTCGCAGTATATTTTTTTAAAATAAATCTATAAATGAATACTGTTAGGGGCATACTGTTTTTTTAATTGTCCGTGTGAATTCCGGTATGACATACAAACCGGTCTTGAGATGTGTGGCTAAAGTTCTATTTCATTGAAAGTAATCAGCAAAAAAATGAAAGACTTTTACAATTTCCTGCAACACCGAATCAGAGCGCAACTCTTGAGGAGGACGAGGGAATGCTACGGAGGAAAGGGTGTGTCCCTCTTCCTTCCCGGCTAGATTTAGCGGAAAAGTTTCCGCTAAATTTAGCACAAATACTTTTCCGACAAATTTAGCGGAATTGAGTGGGAATATTGACAATGTTTGATGCATGTAACGTCACGCAACGTCACACGTGCTTCATACGACACGTGCTTCCTATAATGACGTCACACCTGACGTCACGTGTGACGTCAGGAGGGTAAGCCTCGTGAGGGTAACCCTCGTAACTTTCACGAGGGTAACCCTAGTGACGCCACACGTAACATCATTATGAGTAATTTCCCGTAATGCAACGCGCGGTTACGCCGACACCGACGCCGCTCAAGCCGTAAATATACACCTAAAAGCTGCGCAAAAAAAAATGGTCTAAGCGTTTTTATTACATCCGATAGCCTTCCTGTCGACTCACCCCTAAGAAAAACTGGACTTGAAATTTAAAACGAATGCGCAAGCGCAGGAGAGTGAAAAGTGAAAGAATCGAGAAGAACAAAAAGGTCGATCGAACGTACCCTTAGGGGAATGGAAAACATAACCTCATGATTGCAACCTGGACTCTCAACGCTGTAACGTTTTCTTATTGACATTGCCGAGGACTACACCTTTGCCACGGTGTAAAATGTACGTACATATCGCAAAACAAAAATGCGGAGTTCTTTTTTTACTACAAAAATAAACCGCTCATTCCCTATCCTTTATTCGGCAGCAAAATGTAGCGCTAACGGTTCGTACCAGATCGCAAAGCTGCAGCATGCAGCGTTATCTTATTCAAAAGTTATGTCATTTACAAAAAAAATTCTATTAGAAAATGAGTCCCGGTTTTGCCCTCGGTAGCTGACGCCACAGAGCTCCATGTGTTAGAGAGCTCCGCCGGCCGCCATTTCCGCATCGAAAATTTTAGAAAATCACATGACTCCTGAATAAAAAGTTCACAGGGTCTCTTATGTTTTCCGTTAGACGACTTGAAGGCGAAAGGCCAAGCGCCGATGTGTTAAAGACAGACAGATTATTAACTCGCTGAGTCATCTCTCTTAAGGTAATGAGACGTCTTTCTTAATGTGCTGAGTCATCCCTCTCAACGTGCTCAGTCATCATCTTAATTCGCTTAGTCATTCACTGAGTGGTCACGTAAACGTTTTTTTTGTCTTTCGTGTCGCCGACGTGTTCGCAAGGAGTGAACGATGAGACGTATAAGGATTTCGCCTTAATAATGATTAGTGCTGTAACTTCGGCAACTGGCTCAGACCGCTAGCGCTACCTATGGCCAGAGAATGAGCGTTAGACGGCGCATAGTTTAGTTTTTCCGGTTAAAAGTAACCTGTAAGTTTTCTGGGGTACACTGTATATACGTAAGGACACAGTGAACATCGAACGCTGCGACGCGATCGGCCACATAAAGTCCTCTTGGCCCACGCCACCCAACAGCGTCTTCGCCGTCCAGATGGCGCAAGTGAGGAAAATAGAAAAAAAAAAAAGTGCCTCGTTCCTGGCGAGCGCTTTTTCCCCTAAGAGCCTCTGCTCTGTCCTTGACGAACACTGGTTGGAACACCGGGACAAAGATACGCCCGATTCAACGCGTACACAAAACTGCTATATCCGCCGTTTAGGCAAGAGACTGGTGTAACGAAGTAGTCTCTAAGCCACACGCGTAGCGCAAGTGCCAAGTTCTTCATGACGTGGCGAAGGCAGAAAAAAAATGTAAAAGCAAGCATGTCTGTCCACGAGAAGAATGGGAAGCCGGGCCGGCCACTGGCTGCCATTTGCCGTGTTGCGAGGAGTCATCTGATGGCACCGCTTGCGACTAATATGAGAAGACTTTTTCTCGCAGCTGCGGCGCACACGACGTCCACGCCTATATATATTTTACTCCTTGACTGTGGCCGGGGGGTTGTGAATCGTTGGGTGTAAACCGTTGGTTATTGAACTACTGTAACTTTTTTTTTTTTTTTCACCAATCAACACTTTGGACTGTGCTAATAGCGCGAGCGGGTAGCTTCCGAGTTTTTTTCTTACTGCACGAGGGCTCGTGAAGCGGAAACCCAATCGAGCTCAGGGAGCTCGTGCCTTTGTCCACATTTGTGCAGGAATTGCACAGCTTTTAGCAAAGGGCACGCTTTCAAATAGGGACTCAAAAAGGGGACTGTGACAGAAGTCATACCCTTGCAAAACGTCCTACGGTCGTCTAGATTGCCTCCTGAGTGAAAGGAGAGGAATGAAGTGAACATCCCTAAAGAGAAGCGATGGCCACAGATGCTCAACGTGTTGGTCGTGTCCATGAGACGCCGGAAGAAGGAGAACAGCGTTTTCTAGGAACAAGGAAGCAATGCGACCTCATGATGCTACAGCTAGTGGCCGATTGAGGGAACGAGGGTCGTGTCAACTTAATCAGCGCATAAGTCGCTTCGAAGAGAAACCGGTATACAATCGAATTTCGAGGTATTCTCCACCAAAGCGCCGTAGAAACGCAGCCCCAGGAAGGAATTCGCTATCTGAGAAATCTTACTTGGTTGCCGAAATGAAGTCTCCTTGTGCTATCTCGGTGTCGACCCAGGATTAGGTGTCACCACCTCAAGGCTCACGGGCTGTGGTTCCTGTGTTGACGTCGTGTCGATGATCCCGGCTCAGCTTTCGCTCTCGAGGCAGTCGGAGAAATTACCTCTCCTGTCAATGCAATCGGAGTGATTACCTCTCCTGCTGAGGCAGTGGGAGTGCTGACACGCACTCGAAGCATGCCCATAACGATGGTACTCCTTGAATCGTGCGGGTTTGGGACGTAAGATGTGTTCTTACATGGTCAGAGAGCACCATGTCTTCGATCAACAGGGTGCTCACTCTGTTCGGTTACAAGCACGACCGCAAGCTGACAGGCTTCGAGGTCCGTTTTTGCGAAGACCGCCGGCCGGCCAACCCCAGGGGCCCTATGTCGCGCTTTTTAGACTCCCACAGCGACTAGAGAGAAGAAAGTGACGTCAACAAAGCAGCAAACTCGGATTGGATGCTGATTGGTGTGTGTCGTTGATGACAAATTTCCGCAGAGAAAACAAAGCTCGCTT